GCCACCGTGGTTGGAATGCTCTGCAAGCTGCATATCCACAGTATAATTTAAGGGAAACTTATTTAAGTTGACTTGGTAGGAAATCATTCACAGTAAAATTCCAGATTATTAGCACATTATTTGTGCTTAGGACAACTTCTGCTGCTTTCTAGTGAATTGTGTCATGTGGAATGCAGCTTTAGAGTGGTGCTGTTGAAATGTTGGTTTTATAGCCAAGCAAGCATGCAGCATTCCTAAATGTGTATTACTTCCAGCCCCTTTGTCCTCTGTGTTGCTGAAGCATTGCCATCAGTACCATGTTTGGTCTATGTCTCTGTGATGTTACTGTGCACAAATTCACACTGTAAGTATAATTCCTTTACTGTGTATTTCCCTTGACATTCAGAGGTTTCAATGCTTTCCTGACTACATAATTTTGAAAGTGACAGATTTCTCTTAAAATGTAAGATGATGATCTTAAACTGGAAAATGTTTTAAATAGTTCTGTTGGCCTCTGTTAGGTTTGGTGTTTGGGATTAAAACTTTTAGAGTTCTCCAAGTGAGAAGAATATAGACCATTCCACTTCTCTTTTTTTTTTCCAGAATATATTGATTTTCATGTCAAAAAGGTCAGCCTTTGTATATATTTCATAAACAGATCAATTACTCATTACTTTAAAACCAGGAAAGAACCTATAAATAGCATCCTGACAATCAATTGCAAAACTCTTCAGTAATGAATGTAAATATTTGCTATGAAAATGTTGATCTTTGTCACTGGTAGGTTTGGGTTTTTCATTCCTCTTAACAAGTGGTACTTCTATTTTCCTGATTCCTAACTTCATAAAGAAACTTATTTTATGTTAGTCCTAATTCCACTATTGTAAAAAATCCCAGCAAAAATTTCCTGGAAGATATGATATGTGAGGATGTGTTCCCCTTACAGAGCTTTTGGTGCAGCTGAGAATAGACAAGTCAGAACATTCCCCTGAGCACGGCATACATGTGGGGTGTTTTTAATTCCATGGGAAAGTGAGGAAATTCCAGGTTTATTTCTGCTAAGCCAAAGGAAGTTAGAAGAAAAAAAAAAAATCTCTGCAGTCTCTGCTCTGTAGAGGTGGCAGTTGAAGTACACGGAATCATTTACTCAAATGATCTTTTGAATTCTCAGAAAACCTCCAAACCCTAAATTAAATCTTCCCCTAGACACCAGTGCACTGCAGCAGGACACTCTGTCAGACAAGGAATGGGCTGGGAAAACTGCTCAGGGCTGCTTTTGTATAAATGTCATGATGATGTTTGGCTCAGTCGTTCCTGTCCTTTTGCAATGTATGTGCCTTGATGGCAGTGGGTTGCATTCCCAGTGCTCCAGCACTTCCATGGAATCAGAACACCCTCACACAACGAGTGGCACCACACTGCTCACACAGGGATGCACAAAGGGAAGACTCAAAAGCACCGGCTTCCTTTTTAACCTGCGTATGCATTGAAGTGTCCTGTGTGTTTTTCCATGAGGTGGGAATCAACTTGGAGGGGTTTTGGTTGCTTTTAAGTCATAAAGCTTCTGTTTTTATGCTGCTGGCTCGTCACCTGAATCACAGTCTGGTGCCAAAAAGGAAGTTGGTCCCTGAGTTTCCATCTACAGCTCATTCACCCAAACAGTGCATAGGAAGGGACTGAAGGAAAACATTTGGAAGTAAGCAGGGCTTCTCTTAGGACAGCAGTGGTGTTTATTCTGTGTGGCCTTGACCCATGGAATGCAGCTTTTTGAAATGCATTGACTGCAGCTAGTAATGCTTTATCTCAGAGCTGTTCATCATCCAACAGCAACATCTCCCAAATTACAGTCACTACTTAGCTCTCAGGGACCACTGGATCCCTCTGATGGTGCTCTCTGCTGCCAGCTGCAGAAACAGCCTGGAGATGGAGACCTGTATGGGAGAAAAGAAGAGCCAAGATATCTGGGTGTGCAAGAGGAAAAGGAAAAATTATGTGGTGGTCTGAGGGGCTGTGTGGGACCTAATGGATCCTGGGAGTTGCATATGTGCCTCTCAGAGAAAAGGGAATACTGGGCTTCCTCAAAGCAGGAAGCAATCTAGAAACAGGAGCACATTTATGAGACAGTGCCATGTAGCAGGTTGTTCTCCAGAGGGGGAGAAGACAGAAAATTCTAAGGAGCTTTTCACAGGTGAATGTCCTGTCCCCTGGCTGAAGCACAGAGTTCCAAATCAACTCTGACCTAGGACCAAGGAAGTGATCCTAGTACAGACTCCTGCAGAAAGATGTAGCTGACATTTTTGCTGCACCCATTATGCACAGTGAGAAAAGGAAAATAGAACAGAAAACCTGGAATATGGACTGGCAGGTTAACTTTGAGAAGACAGGATGTCATTTTAAGACACAGAAATCATACTAGTAAAGGATTTGGCAAATTTTTTAAACTTCCCAAGGAAAGTGCTTTTGTGTTTCTCCAGGATACAATGGCATGCTTTCTAGATGAAGAATTTGGGGTAGAATCTTTTTGAGAAAAGAATCCCAGGGAACAAAACTAAATTTTATCCTGAAATCTAGGAAGAGGAGAGATTTCTGTCTTGCTTTTGAGCCAGCCAATAAAGTCACATAGCAGTTGCAGACTTTGCTGTTCAGATATGTTTAATGACATCAAATTTTGGCATACGTCTTGCTGATCTTTAGAATTTCAGTTTGAGTAGTGTATTTAATAGAAAATGGCACAGTATGTTCCCAAAAGTGTCCTAAAGATTATATCTGTTAGTGTCAGTTTTGCAGAGATGTATTAGTTAACTGTACTGCACAGGAGTGAGGAACATTTCTTGTTAATTTAGGGAGGGAGAAAGCTTGATGACACATGCAAATGGCACATCATATATTTTAAGTTCTGTGTATGTCGCCTACACTAACTGCATTTGTCCTTTCAACATCTTTCTTAGCTTGAGCACCACCATTTTTGAATTTTATGTGACTGTGATATTAATACACCTGTTAAAGAGAAGATTAATTACATAATAGCATTTTTATTAAAGATTAGATACCCTTTGGGAGAATATATATATATATATATTGAGCCCTGATGATTTCTGCCTTGAAATTGCTGTCTTCCTTTCTTTACCTGGCACAGCTATCAGTGCTCAGGAAGGAGCTGGGCCAACTCATTCCCTGCAGAAGGAGTACAAAGTGCTTGGGGTTGTGGGAGACACTGATTCTCAAGGTATTAGCAGTGTCTGTAGATGTGCTAACAATCCCAGTTTGTGCAGCTACATGGAGCAGTGCTGAAACAGAGCTAGAGAGCTGCAACAGTGCCTACATCAAAGTGGAAATGGGGCAAGGACAGCACTTGGAAGTTCAAGTAGACATAAGCTTCTCTTCCATGAGAGTGGAACTGAAGTGCCAGGAACAGCTGTCCTGTGAAATTCCTCTTTGACAAGTTACAGATGTCCTCAAAGGACAGAAGGTGGCCCAAGTGTGAAAGAGTAGCAGGAGAATCTGCCCCAACACTGTGTGCCAAAACTTAAGGCAGAAGCTCATGCAGAAATACTTGGTGTGGTTCCAGCAGTGCTTCACCCTGGTTCTCTCCAGTCTTCCCCAGGGAGTTGCAGTGTAGAGATGACTTTGCACTGAGGCATCTGGGCAGGGGAACACAATGCTGCCGTTTGTTGTCTGAAGAAGAGATTCACTGGCAGAGCTGCTGCTCTGGTGGAGCACAGGAGCCATGTATACTATGTGGGGATTAGCTCAGTTTTAAGCTGCGTATGTGTAATATGTGAATATGTGAAAAAGTAATTTTCTAATTTTATTCTTTATCTCTGGCAGAAACTATTCCTCTTTTTAGACACTTCTATTAGCTCTGAAGAGGTGACTCTCTTCTGAGCTATACAAAGGACAATTTCATACCAGATACTGATCTGCTTCATAATGATAGGTTCAGGAGCAAGACCTGTATCTCAGATCGAGTACCTTCAACTATTTCTCCATCTCCAGTTGTTATTGTTACAAAAGAGCATGTGGGGGTTTCCAATGATCTGATCCCATTTTTAACTACAGGTTGGTAAACAGCAGCACTGGCATAACTTGTTTTGCAAGGACTGTGCAGCAGTCAGTCCTACTCCCATCTTCCCTCTGGCTCTTTGACTCTTCAGGAACTTTTTAGCCCTCTGTGCTTTATAGCCTGTGATGTTCCTGCTAATACCAGGAACTCCCTCACACAGCTTCGTGCTTCCTGCCTGGTGCTAGGCAAAACAAAGCAGAGGTCCTTAGCCTGTTCATTGTTACCTCTCTCTGAAAAGCTCAGAGTCTCTGTACCTGGGCACTTGCAGTGGGGAGAGCATAGCTCTGTCTCCAGCTGTCTCTCAATGCTGCCTGCTAAAGCTTAGGCAGTGCCAGCTCACTCTGCAGTTGTTGCCAAGGGCACAGAGCAGGTTCCTCACTTAACTCCCTGGGAAGCCAGAGTGGATTTGTACCCTGAGACATTTTGGAGACTGGGTTCAGTTCAGCAATGGGTGTCTTTTCCCCAGGGAGCAGTCATTAATACCTTCACAATAAATGACGGCTGTGAACAGCAGTGCTAGAGCGTCCTAGTGATGGCAACAAGAGCAGAGCAGGGGACCTGTGCTCTGAAGCTGGTAATGGCATCTCCCTTCATGTCCTGCAGCAATGAGATACATGGATTAATTCTAAATGCATTGGTAACATATGGGTCTAAAATTATTTTGTGCTATTTAGAACAAGTCCTTTGAGCTAAGGCTGTTGTAAATTCTAATTAGTCCATGCTAATCTCCATAATAGGCAGCTATTTCTAATGCAGATCTAACTGATGATGTCTGACAGCATTTTCCACACTTATTTATACACTGGCAGCAAGCTGGTATCATGCTAGGGTCAGAATGTTTGCTCAGGTTAAGAAAACTTTATTTTCTGTACTCTGCAGGGAGTTTGTATTTGCTGCAGGTTTGTGCCTGTTCCCAGAGCACCAATTAATGCCTGTTTGCTTGTATTTATTTGTGCAGAAAATAGGGAAAACTCCTTCAGCCGTTCCCGAAGCTCCAGCGTGTCCAGCATCGACAGGGACTCAAAGGAGGCAATCACAGCTTTGTACTTCATGGAGTCCTTTGCCCGAAAGAACGACTCTGCTGTTTCCTCCTGTCTCTGGGTCGGAACAGGCCTCGGAATGGTCATAATCCTGTCCCTCAATCTGCCTGCTAGTGACGATTTACGGCAGTCAGAGCCAGTCATGGTGTCACCAAGTGGTGAGAGTGCAGCTCTTTTCCAGCTTTTTATCTGTCTTGGTACAATGGGGCAGTAACTGACTGATTTTGTATGGCCTTTGGGGCAGAAATGTCTCAAAAAATCAAGCAGTGGTCACTCACTGAGTGGAGGGCACACAGGTAAAGATGCTCATGTGAGGGAACAATAACTTCATGGATTGAGATGCTTTGGTTGTTAGTTCCAAAAATTGCCTTGTGTAACAGGCAAAGTTACATGTTTCTTTTGAGTACAGGGAAATTAGCAGAGTTCCTTCATATTGTGAAATTACAGTCCTGTTTACAATTCTGTCTGGGATTCTACAATCAGTTTGGCTGCCTTCGTATCAGAAAGCTGCAGAGAAGCAGAAGAGAAGCAGAAGGGAGTTCAGGAAAGGAAACAAAAATGTTGGCAGGCTGCTGTACCAGGAGAGATCCTTGGCTGAGTGAGTGACAGATGGTGTAGCAGAGAGAACAGAGGGCTGAGAGGTCAGGTCTGAGGAGAAGCAGCATGTGCTTAGAAAATGGACAAAAAAATGGAGAATGCACAGAAGCAGAGGTTTCCCATCCACAGTTTGTTTAGAAAAATAATGCTGGAAGGTCACCAGACTTAGAGCAATTTTACTGCTGGGGAATAAATATTCTACTAGTATAATGTAGAGATAAACAAGAGGCCATCTTCAGCAGCATGTGTTATATCCATCATTATAGCTATCAGCTGCCTGAGACCTTTCCAGTACTGGCAGGCTGTTTGTTCACCTTCTCGTGTGGTCAGAAAGAACTGAGCAAGCACGCCTTGTCACCTTGGCTGGATTAATGCGTGTGCTGTGTTTACAAAAGCTGTGTGTCAGCTGTGCTGTGCTGACAACCAGTCTGGTTGTGGTGTCCGTGCCAGTGAGAGGAAATTCTGTTCTGCAGGCACCGTCCTGACACTGAAGGGAGCCGTGCTGACCTTCGCGTGCTTGGACTGCATGGGGACATTGACACATCGGCCCTACGAAGTATGGAGGGATCCACACAGTGCTGATGACGGTGACAAAACAAGGAAAAGGAAACTTGTCATGCATTCCCCTTCCTCCTCCCAGGATATGGGTGATCATCAATTTGCAGTCATTTGTTCAGAAAAACAAGCCAAAGTCTTCTCATTGCCTTCCCAAACATGTCTTTATGTCCACAACATCACCGAAACGTCCTTTTTATTGCGAGCAGATGTGGTCACCCTCTGTAACAGCGTCTGTCTGGCGTGCTTTTGTGCTAATGGGCACATCATGACACTGAGGTACTTATCTAACTAATCTTGTGGCAAAACTAAGCAAAGGCACAGTGCTGTCATATTCCACTTGTGTTTGCTCCAGAGGGCCTGATGCTCTGCATTAACTCCCCGGTGGGTGCGTTTAATTCCCTGCCTTGATGCAGCCATACCTGATCCTTGGGCTGTCTCCATGTGGGGAGTTAAGGCAAGCAGGTGCACAGCAAAGCAAGCTCCTCTTTTTTTCTAGTAATCCCCTGTCTGTGACAGTTGGTGGCTGGTGATTTTTAACTATGATAAAAGGAAGGCCTGATAATTTTGCTCAGGTGTGGTGGATCAGATATAGAGAAGTACAGAACTCAGCCATAGAAAGGGTTCTGTTTATCCTTTGTGAAGTACTAAGTCCCACTCTTGGCACTTCTGAAGATTTTCTGTTCAGAGCACTTGGTTTCCCTTCCTTGTCCCCTCCCCCAGGGAGCTGACTGTGCAGTGGCCCTGCAGCTGTACCTTCGCCTTACTGCACCCTCTTTCCCTGGCCAGGCCATTTAAATTTGGGAAAGTACTGTCCAAAACAGCAAACCACAAGGAAGCTGGAGGACAGCAAAGGTGATGCTGGAGCCTTTGTCCACTGGGTAGAAGCAGGGCCCTGCCAGGCCCTTTCCTGCAGATGTCCCTGCAGGCCTTGCCCTGCGAACGACCCAGCAATGTGGCACAAGCCATACTGTGCCATTTTCACAATCCCATATCCAGACAGTAGCAGAAGCCTTAGGGCCATGCAGGCAAGGCAGCTGAAAGTTCTTCATGCAAGCAAACAAAATGCGATGGGACTACAGCATTTTTATGGCAGAATTTTTCAGCTCAGAAAAGCTGTACTTTAACTGTGGCAGTTACACAGAGCATAAGGTGAAGTTTTGGTTTAAAATGCAGGCACAGAGCAGGTGTACCCCGTGTGGCAGCTGGTGACTAACCTGGGAATCTCCTTCTCCTCAGCTTGCCCAGCCTTCGCCCGCTGCTGGACATCAACTATTTGCCTGTCACGGACATGAGGATAGCACGGACCTTCTGTTTCACTAACGAAGGGCAGGCTTTGTACCTGAGCTCTCCCACAGAGATCCAGCGCCTGACGTACAGCCAGGAGATGTGTGACAACCTGCAGGTAGGGCTCACTCCTCACTCTGCTGTGGGAGGGGTGGTGGCCTCACTCACCATCAGTGGCCCTGACAGGACAGTGCTGCAGGGCCTGGATCTGTTCCTCTCCACTTGCCCTGACTGAATGATGCCAAAGCCACACAGAGAGGTCAGCAGCTCTGTTGTTCTTTGGGCTTTTTCATGCACTGTCACCTGCACCTGTGCAAAAAGTCTTTACAATGTTAGAGATGGGCTGGGTTTGTTATTTTACAATGAAAATGCAAATAAAAATGTCATTTACTGAAGGGAAAGAGTTGTGAGAGGTTACAGAGAGAAACATGAGTAATAAAAGGGAAAAAAAAAGGGGGAATAAGTTCTGAGTTATATAATTAGCAGTGAACCAGAATGGAAGTATAAAAGAAATGATCCTGCCAGCACTCATTATGCCCTAGGGAATAACATGTGCTGAGCTGCTCAACTCACATCAAGCACTGTCTGTCTCAAGTCTGAAAAGGCACTTTGAGGAGCAAGCATTGCACACCAGCTTTTGTGCACCAGAAAGGAGATTATTTTGCAAGGAGCCAATTTTAAAATAATCTAAAGGTTTGACCAATGCTTCTTGGACTATGGACCTACAGCAGGAGGCTGTTACAAGATATATTTTCTTTTTTGATTTTTTTTTTTTCTTTTTTTTACCAGCCTTAACAGCATCATGCAACTACCAAGCAAAGGGAAGCACAGCCCTTGCTTCTCTGTACTGCTGGACTATGTCTCCTTTTATCTTGGCTTTTATGCGAAAAAAGGTTTACATTGTGTGTGTACAGAAAGCAGATGACCCATATCACCTGCTACCTGGGAAAACAAAGCTGGGCTGCATGAGAGCTCCACTTAGGCTCCAAGGGCTGCAGTAATTTTTCTCCCCAGAGCAGGTGACTGTGCAGAGGAGCAGTGGCTGTGAGTCACAGCGCTGTCCTCACACTCAGCCCCCAGGAGCGAGCTCTGTGTGCAGCACAGCAGCTGGATCTGCCTGCTGAGGCTTGGCTGAGCAAACACAGAGCTGAGCAACAGGGCAGAAACTGTGCCCAGTGCACACAGCCCCCTGGTTTCAAACACTAATGGGACTGCACACTTTTCCCAGCAGTTTTTTTCCAGAGAGCTGGCTTTTCCTGGTACTGCTGCAAATAAATCTGAGCCTGACATTTGTTTGGAGTGACTGCTCCAAGATGTGGCGCCAGAGCAGTGCTTGCAGCAGATGTGCTTATTTAGCATTGCTGATGGCACACTAATGGGGTGGGGAAAGGTTATAGGAAGGTAATGAATTTTGTTTAAAAAGAAAAAAAGCAACTAAATGACAAACCACCAAACTCTGAATTGCTGGCAAGCACTGAACTCAGGTTTGCCATAAAAAGAAAGCAGAGTGCCTGCCCAGCCTGGCTGGGCAGTCACTAAAGCAAAATACATTATACACAACAAATTGTTTATTCCATTATAGTGTCACCTCTGCTGTTTCTAAGCAAAATGTGACTTTATCACTGGTATTTTCATTCTGTATTAACTGCAATTTTTATCTCTGGTAACAAACATGGGACTGGGCAGTGATAAACCAAGTCCATTTGTAAGAGTGAGTGAGTCTAGTTAGCCCAAGCATTTGTCAGAATACACAAATTACCCACACCGTACTGTTCACACCACAGACTCTTTTAAAACCACTTGATTAGATCCAGTGCATGTGGCTTGTTAATGAAAATCAAGAAAATGCCTAGAACTGCTTTCACCTCACTAACCTTTCACATGGACTTTTTTTCTGGCTTTACTAGGACATGCTTGGGGATTTGTTTACTCCTGTGGAAACACCAGAAGCCCAAAACAGAGGCTTTCTTAAAGGACTTTTTGGAGGGAGTGGACAAGCTTTTGACAGAGAGGAGCTTTGTGAGTAATTTATTGTTTGGGGTTTTTTTTGGCAGAAATTCATTCTTGAGATCCCCTGCCCTCGTCATCTAGGAATGGAGCAGTACACAAGATTTAGCTGATTGATGAAAAGAGAAAGTTGACCTAGTGGAGGAAGGAGAGGGTCCTTGTCTGCCATTCCATAACTCCTTCACCTTGGCAGCTTCTTTTGATCAGCTGAGCAGGGGGCACATGACTGCACTGCAGATGTGCTGGTGACAGAGCAAAGCCTTCCACATGTGCCACGTGCCCCTTGAATGATGTCACTGCTGCAAGGCTGCAGCTCAAGACTGACGAGCACTGACAGAGCCAGGCCAGGAGCTCATCCCTGTCTCTCTGCCTGTCCATTTCTCCTTTGCAGTTGGCGAGGCCACAGCAGGAAAAGCCTCTCGCAGCCTCGCCCAGCACATCCCTGGATCCGGCGGGATTGAAGGCGTGAGAGGAGCTGCGGGTGGGGTCATTGGGGACCTGACTCGTGCACGCATTGCCCTGGACGAGAGGGGGCAGAAGCTGGGCGAGCTGGATGAAAGGACTGCCAGCATGATGGCCAGCGCAGAGGCGTTTTCCAAACATGCACATGAGGTAGGAGCCCTGGCACCCACACCCTGGAACTGGGGACTGGCAAACCTGCAGTCTTTGCTTACCATTGGGAAAGCCAAGTGCCCTTCTCTCCCTTCACCCAGTCGTGGTGTTGGAGGTGTGCTCATGTCACCTGGCACGGCATTGTTCCCGCTCCCAAACTAGGAGAATGCCAAAAATAAACTGCCATTGCTCACCGCTTCCTTTCACGTTTCCAGAAATGAGCATCCATTGTTAGCCTCTGAATTTAGAACATGGCACTTCTCATCTTGCCTTTCTCACTAATTCGTTATGATTTGTTTTTTTAAGCCACTTAATGCAGCACATCCCTGCAGTAGGGCAGAAAACAGGTAGGTGGATGAGTGTATAGTAACCTTTACAGATCTTACTGGGAAGAGAACATTACTAGTACAGCCCTGTGGTACTGTTACGTAGAATAGGCCTTGCCAGGAATAGGAATAGCTTCTGTGCTTGGAGCTGGAAATGGAAAGCTTTTCCATCCCACGCTGTTAAGACTGGGAAAATTAAAGTGATTTTTCTTGAAGATAAAACAACATCAAAGCATACTTCCCAAAATGCACGTTTTTCATTTAATGTGCATCGCATCTCTGGACAAGACCTTCACATTTTTATTGGCTTGTATAAGGCAGAAAGAACATGCCCTGAAATGCAAGAAATTTATACAGTCAGGGCATATCTGCTATGCTCCATAGATAAGTGTCTTTTTATTCCTATAGAAAGCAAGTTCCTTTAATTTTTGAAGAAGAAAAATAGTTAAAGATCGTCAGGAAAAATCTTCTAAAAACAGCAATAGCAGGTAATGCTTTTTTAATGTAATAACTATGAAATTAAATATGAGATCTCAGTGGACTCAAGACCTGCTGACATTGTTGGTGAAGTATTGCATTGTTCTACATTTATTAATTCTGAAGTTTGACAGCTAATGGGCTTAGGTCATGTGTGGTCTCTCATATGCAGGGTGGTGTTTGATTCCCATTTGTTTGGTTTTTTTTCCCCATCTCTGTAGGTGATGCTCAAATACAAGGACAAAAAGTGGTACCAGTTTTAGACTTTCAAAGAAGCTGCTTGTGGCTTTACTAAGAACACTGTTCAGGGAAGCAACTTTTATTCCCAAATCTACCAGTCACTGGCCAGAGACAGTTTTTTCTCCTAGAAGATGTTTTCCTGTTACTATTATTGGATTCATCACAGTGGACGTCGAGGAGAAATTTTACAGACCATGGGACGGAAGCTGGAATCATGAGGGTCTTTCCAACAGCTGACTTATGGGGTGGCCAATTTTTTCCCAAAAGGAACTCAACCATCACTGTGGCATGTAGTTCTTCAGAAGCAGTGCAGTAGGTATGAACTGTGGGGAGTGCGTCTGGTTAAAAATATTCTGTACAAATTCGAATGTTAATGCACTTATAAAACTTTGCATGACTAATTGCCAACTAAAAAAAAAAACAAAACAAAAAAAAAACACTGAGAAAAAGGAAGCATGTTGTGACCGAAGAAAAATGGGATTTATTTCTATTCTGAGAAAAAAACAAAAAAACCACCTTAAATGACAAAAATATTTATTTTTTAAAAGTGACATTAAAAAAAGCCAGCACATTTCAAACATGTTTGCTACTGTTCTCCACATAAAAATGAGTTGAGCTGCATTTTCTTATCTGCTGTTTATTTCCCTTGAAAAGCCTTGCTCAAAAGCAGTGCTCTTTAAGTCCTACCAGAAAAATAAATAAATTTAAAATCTTATCCCAAAATTTAACTATTTGGCAAGTAGCTGGACTGGCACTATCTAAAAAAGTCATTAAGACATGTGCATAGATGGTTTATTTGCATTCCAAAGCACATGACACATCATCCTAATCTATACTTTTCAAGATGTGCTCTAGACTCATCTGTTGTCCTTGAGGGAGCCGTGGCAGTTTTCATCCCCATGGAGTCTCTATCACTTGGTTGCCTTATTTCCCAGTAGCAGGAACAGAAAACCAGCTTTGGAAAGCATTTCTTCAAGTTAGGAAGGGAAAGATGGGAAACCACAGTCCCGTCAAACGCTGCTCACAGAGGCTGCTTAGCAGCTTGCAGAGCAGCTTAAGTGCTCAGCTGAAATTATGAGAGGGAACTGCACAGAAACCCTCCCAAAACCTGTGAGAGAGAGATTAGAGCAGGAACACTACACAGTGGGCCAGGGAGGAGCATGGAAAACCATTGTCAACATACAAATGGAACACAGATATAAAGTGACACCATGGGTGAGTGCCAATTTATACTCTGCTCACACTGCTAAAAGTAATTTGCTTCTGCTTCAAAGTGGCTTGTTTGGTTTTTGCAGTGAATGCTGCAGAAAACTCTACAACCTGCAGCCACAGAAGAGAACAGTAAGCTGGATTTATTGCCTATCCTGCTGAAATGCTCCACCCTATCCTACAAGACTCACTGCCATACAGGTCAACTCTTAGGTTAAAAATTTTTCCAAGATTGACTTGGAAACAAGGCGCTGAAAGCTTCTTTCCGTGTGTCTGGACATAGTTTCAAATTAGAAAAAAGAAAGTGAGGAAAAGCTGGAAAAATGACCTTTAAAATTTTTCTATCAAAGAAGTGTAACATCTGTCCCTTCACGGAATCCTGATGGACACTGATGGAGACAGGCGCCATCCACCCCCACCCAGACCTGAATTCCACTGGTGTTTGTATCATCACAGTGTTCAAATGATCCCTCTCAAAGGTGACTTTTCCATCTCCTTCCTTTAGCTACAATAAAATACCACCCAGGAAGTTACACTGTCCACAAGTCTGGCCTCACAATTGGCCCACTGCACAAACTAAAGGGTTGGAAGAGACTTGAGGTGTTAAGTTTTAAATTGCCATTGTAGCAGGACAGAATTTCATGATTTACAGGATTTTTACATTTTGCTGTAAGTAAAATCAACATGATGGCCCTGACAGGTCTAGCTCAACTGGGAATGAGACTCCACAAGTTCCTCTGGCTCAGGAGAAACTTGTCAGAAGTGTAGAAACTTGTGGGGAAAAAGGTCAAAGCCTGAGCAATGCCTGGGTTTCTGCTGAGAGCTAAGGAATTGGAGTTGTCCATGACCCAAGAGGATTTTTCTGTTTATGTGTGTAAGGATATGCCAAACTTGCCCCTCTGATGCCAATAGGACCTGGGCTGGGGAATTCCTTCCAGGGGCTAGGTCACAGAAGGAGCCACTTGTGCCCATGAGGAAGCACTGCTCTAACCAGGCATGGAGAATGCGAAATAAAGGAGAACATTATAGCAATTTGATCTTCAGTTTAAACCTGTGTCTGGCCTATAATCCAAACCCACTGGTCTCTGGGCAACAAAATCATTTGGGGCATCATTCAAACTGTCCAGCAGCCAGCTTATTTTCCATTGTGCCCTGGTGTGTGGCAGTCAGAAGCAGCAACACAGGCTGATTGGAATCATGGGGGATCTTTGAAGGAAATTTCAGAGCAACTTCTGACTGCTGATCACTGCAGCTCACCCAGAGAGAAAAGTGTCCTCAACAAGTCTTTCACACAAGACCCAACTGACTCTGGCTGCCAACAGTCTCTAGTTTAACACCAGGGAGGAAAAAAAAAAAACCTGCTGGTAGATTTCCATTTGCATTTTTATGCAACAGAGAAATGAGAATTTAGCAGCCCTCAAACTTACAATTTTTAATACTAAACTTTTAAGCAACTTTTCTCAGTACTCCCCATCAGGTCACAGCTTTCCACTCTTACATATTTTACATATTTCCAGACAGTTACCAATTATTATTTCTGTTAAGTTCACCACTTGTGACTATAATTATCAACTTTCTTGTAGTCTGTAGAGATCTAAAAAGTTGTATATGTTTGTATATAGAACATTCTATATATATAATATATATATATATGTAATGTATATGTTGTATAAGTTTGTTAGTGCACACTGTTAAATGCTTTCTATCAAGATTTACCATGTACGTGGAAAAAACCCATCACTTAAAAAGTTCAATGAGGGAGGAAAAACTCTTGCCTGGGTGATTTATTGTGAAATGAGGGGGAGTGTGGGATTTTTGCAAGGCTTGCCCTGAACGCTGCTCAAGGCTGTCGGTGACAGGCATGAAGCTGCAGCATTCCCAGCAAGGAACACAGCATCTGAGAAAGACTGTAGGACTGTGACTGGCTGGAGGAAAATCAAGGACACTGGCTGTCACTGGATGTTGAAATCTTTCTGTGCTTTCACCTTTCCCACTCAGACAGCACCACCTCAAGCTAAATCCCAAGCTTAGATGTATCTTCAGCCTCGCAATCCTCAACTACACCAGGCCAGATTGGCTGGAAATACTAATTCAGTTTAAACTGCTGTTTGTTCATTTAGATACTTTGTTCTCTCACGTTCTTCTCTCCAGAAGCTCTGTCACAATCACATCCAAAACCAGTTATACAGAACTTCCAACAGCACACACACCTTTGGGTTTGACCAGATGTTTGTAATCTTATGTCTAGTGCTGTAGATAGACAGAGAAAATGCATTAAATTAGATTACTTATAAGTCTGCAGAGTTGGCAAGTCTTCAATGAAGTACAAGCGACTTTATTTATTAATAAAAAAAATTAAATCCATTCCTAGAGCTTTAACTTCAGTTGCAAATCTTGAATTAAAATACATGACAATTGAAATTTTAAGAATCAGGTTTTGTTTTCTGTAATTACCTTGGGGGGAGGGGGTTTAAGATTTTTACAGTTCTGCAGTTCAACTAACTACATCAATTAGTCATTCCCCACAGTACCAGGATTGTTACAAAAATGTGTAAGAAACATACTCTATTTACTACATGTATTGTATAAAATTTCCACATAAACCCTCCTCTAAAACAGTTTATACTCCTTTTCCAGAATCCCTTTCACACCACAGTGCATGCATAATGCAGGTGGGCATAGAAACCTTTTTTCTTTCCGCAATAGAAACCACTTCAGAGCTGAATCCAGTCTCAGGCCTCCTTCATATACAAACTGTGTGTGTTGTAGCACAGACAAAGCCCCAGTTTTTGGTTAATTAAGCCCCACCCCACAAATGGGGCCCTGCCCCATCCATCCTTTCCCATAGCCTGAAGGTGAACTCAAGCACAGCATATTTCAGTCTTGAATAGGTTTTTTTGCCTTGGAAGGGTCTGGTAAGAGCACTCTCTCTCTCAGGAAGGAACTGCAGGTGGACATTCGTAGTCAACTCTTCCTCTTAGGTGTATAAGCAATAGTCAAGTAAATGTGTTTCCATTCATGTGTTTTGTTTTGTGATTAAATCAACAAATCAAACATTGTACTTTTTTAAATAGCAACAAATATTCAGATTCAGTGTCAAGGAAATGTGGGCTGAGTATGTGTGTGGTTTGTTAACAAGTCATTACCTGTCTCTCAGAACGAAAGCTGGTCTGGGGTGAACCACGCACTCCTGTGCTAACCATGTCCTGTTTCCACAGGTATCCTAAACTAGAATCACAAAGCTAAGGCATCTTAAAGTGAGGCTGTTTAGAGCCTCCATTAACAACAACAACAACAAAAAAAAACCAAACAAAAAAACAAACAAAAAAAAAACACAGAGGGAAAGAAAATAAAGGAAAGAATTGATACTAGTTGGTGTCATCTCTTTTTTCCAGCTTCTACTCCTAGATTCTTTCTAGAATTTCAAAGGTGCATGGTTTGTGTAAAGCCTTTGGTTGGAGTTCACACTTCTCAGTTGGGAATACAAGAATTGCAGTGGTGGTTGTTGCTGGGGTGGGGATGGTCCCCTTGCTTCCTCCAGCAGCTCCTGCCAGGACAGACCCCATGCCCCAGCTGATATTCCCAAGCTCCACTGCAGGGAGCTCACACGGAGCTCCTAACTGCACTACCAGCCCCTGGGGAGTGTTTCCAGCCGTGGCCCGGGGCTACCAGCCAACCAAGAGCCCCCTTCCCATTACTCCCACTCAGGGTGAACGCAGCCACCCACACACTGAGCTCTCAGAAGGGCAGGAGTGAGCTCAGTGTAAAGGCTCTTCCCAGCAGCACGTCTGGATTGCTCTGCCAGGAGAAGCTC